CTCAGGCACTCCATGCAGCTGTAGACCTGGACAGCTGCATGTTTGTGTGGGAGCTCTGTCTGGGTCACCACATTCCTTCTGGCAATGACTCTCAGCTGAGTGGAAACCATTGCTGGGTCCCCTTCTGGGAAGGCGATGACCACTAGTTGAATTGGCCTTCGTGAGCCAGGAGGGGGACTGCGCCCTGCCCACGCCAGCTGCCACGCTCTGGCTGACACACCATGCTCTGGTCACCACACTCTGGTCACTGTGCTCCTGGTCACCCGTGCTCCCTGGCGCAGCCTTTTAAGGGAGTGGAGGTGGCTGCCAGGGTGCTGGCTCTGTCCTCACCACATCAACAACCCACCCACAAGCTGCCCGTCCCTGGCACAGGCTTTCTTGGCTTGGGAAAGCCCCCAGAAGAGCCCTTGCCAGCACTTTCTGCCGCAGTTCTCCTCCCCAGTGAGGACTTACCTGCACCAGATCTGATCTCCTCAGCCAAATAAAAAAAAAGGTTTATCTCTCAACTTTTTATAAAACTTGAGGGAGCAGCTGACCCGGCCACTGCCCCAGCTGCTGGTGCCTGACAACACACAACTTCATGTCAAACTTCCAACCTACAGCCCATCCCCCTGGTTTCTCCCCTCTACAGTCAATTTTCTATGCTCTCTTCAACTATTCCTTAAAAAAACAAACAAATTACAAAATTCCACATACCCCCAAGATTTCTTCTGTCCCAGGTCGTGTACAACAACAGGAGGGAGACGCTATTTTTTCTTTTCCCCTCTCTACGCCGTTTTTTGTTGTCCCTTCGTTCCAGTCAGAGATTGTGGATATGACAGATGACACCTCCACCAGCGATGGTGGCCTTGATCAGGGAATCCATCTCCTCATTGCCACAGATCACCAGCTGCAAGTGATGGGGAGTGATCTGCTTGACCTTGAGATCCTTGGAAGCATTGCCCGCCAGCTCCAGCACCTCGTCGGTGTGGTACTCAAGGATGGAGGCACTGTAGATGGCAGCGGTGGCAGCCACTCGCCCATGGCTGGGTAGTACAAGTCTTCAAGTGTCTGTGGACCTGGCCCACAGGAAACTGCAGCCCAGCTCTCTGTGAGCATGACATGGCCTTCACTCTGGCCTTCCCACTGTCCTTTCCTGCCTTACCTCCAGCCGTGGTGCTGCAGCTGCCATCCAGCGTCTGGTCCCAAGTCTGTGCTGGAGCCACTTCAGGGGCCTCAAAAGCTGCCTCAGGAGCCTCAGAAACCACCACAGGAGCCACCTCAGGAGCTTTAGAAGGCTCAGAAGCTGCCTCTGGAGCTTTAGGAGCTGCCTCAGAAGCTGCAGGAGCTTCCTCAGGAGCCACCTCCAAAGCCACCTCAGGAGCTGCAGGAGCCGCCTCAGAAGCCACCTTAGGAACCGCAGGAGCTGCCTCAGGAGCCGCCTCAGGAGCCACCTCAGGAGCCTCAGAAGCTGCCACAGGAGCCTCCTCAGGCAAATGAGAGATGAATGCAAACTCCATATAACCATCTTTAAAATAGATCTCCCTTGGGGAGAGAATGGATTAATTAACATTTCAGAGGTGCTTTGAGTTCCTTTGATAGGTGTTGCAGAAATGTAAAAGGGTTTTCTTACTTGCTAGACATAGGCTGTCTAAAGGCCGGGTTTTAATGATGTTGGTTTACTTCCTAAGAGCTCTTTTTCAAATGGAAAACTCTTTTAACTTCTCATGTATGTACCAATACGGTGTTTACTGCAAATTTAAGCCAAATAAAATACACAGCGTCTGGACCAAGACTTGATTTGATACCTTCACATCATGAAAGCTCATACTGATAGTTTGCCAGTAGCCTCAGGGCTCTGATAGTAATTTGTTAGATGCTATACTGAACCTGATCTGCATCTGTATTTACATAAATGCTTTAATTAAAATTATATGCACCAACCTGAGAGAGATGAGCAGCACTGCCTGCTGTTTTGTTTACGTTCCCTGACAACAGAGCCCTGCCTTGGCTGCTTCTTGCTGATTGTACGACTTGACAAAGGGATTTGAGGTGCAGACTAGAAACTTGGATGGATTTCTAGTTAGGCTCTGCTGCAAACTGAGGACTGACCTTGAGCCTCCAGGACCAACTTCTGCCTTTATTTTAGCAGCAGAGAAGATTTGAGCATCTTGATTCTGGGGGTCAAATTTGGTCTGTGGATGCTCTACATTTAGACTAGTTTTGTGCAATCAGGATTTATAGCTTCTTGCAGATTGTCTGCTTTGTCACACGTGCAAAGTGTGAAACCCCACTGAGGACAGTAGAAAAACCTTTTAAATATAGCTTCCATCAAGAGTAAAATTTCTGAGCACTGTTCATCTTTGCATAGTGCATTACAGAGCTCCTTGTAGGGCAAAGTGTTCTAAATAAAAGGGATGATGGGGCCCAAGTGGGGTCCTGGTTGTTTCAGTGGGGCATGTGAGAGCTCATGGCCAAGTTTGGATGAAGGCAGTGGAGACTCTGGCTGAGACTTTTTGCTTAGACCACACATTTAATCTGGAAAATGCAAGCATATAAATACAAATTAAATCCAAGCTGTGCAGTTTGCATTTGGACAGTGGAGGATGCCCTGGTTGATGTTGCTGTGCTGCTTCCCAGTTATTCAGAAGATGTCTTCAAGTCTCAGAAAGGAAAGAAACCAAGTGGCAAAGTTATTACTGATTTCACAGACCGCTTTGAAGATACACGAAGGACAGGCTAAAGAAAACCATACCTACCCTACCTGGATTTGAAGGGTTTCCAAGCTTTATTTAAAGGTGTTTACTTAACTTGCTCTATACAAGATACTTCAAAGCTGCTGTTTCCTTCCCTAGGAGGTTGTATATATGTTGGGGGTTGAACTAGATGATCTAGATGATCTTTAAAGGTCCCTTCCAACCCAAACTGTTCTATGATTCTCTGTAAATCCGAGCATTACCCATCGCTTTCTCTGGTGACCTCTGACTGTATCTGCTCATAGTAATTTCTGAATACAGTTTGGGAGTCCATTCAGGTTCAGCATATTCATACATTAACCTGTTTGCCTGGTAGCTCTGTCAAAGAGGATCAACTGCCCCATGTTTTATGACCTTCTGTGGGATGGGTGGCCAAAACCTGTTTATTGAAGTCCACATGCAGGAGCACAGGCACAAAGGCATCTACGTTTGTTGCAAAGCGGAACAAACATTTTAAAAATAATATTTTTAAAAAAATATTTAAATTGTGAGGTGTTAGTAAGCAGGCTGGAACACGTCTGAGAATGTGGGGTGAGTAGGGCTGGGAAGGGCGGTATATGGGTAACCCAGTGTCAATGGGAGATGGAGCCCACCCTGGACATTTGTGGTGGTTTTACCCACAGTAGGGCCATGTGATCCTGCACTCACTCCCCCTCACCCACTGAGATGGGAAGGGGAGTCACAACAAAGGGGCACAGATTAGCATGAGGACAGGGACAGCTCACTCATCAGTTATGGTCATGGGCAAAACAGACTCAACTTAGGGAAGAAAAATCGGTTTAATTTGTTGCCATTTATCCAAGTAGCACAGTGAGACATAACAACCACACCTTGCAACACCTTCCCCCACCCCTCCCTTCTTCCCGGGCTCAAATCACTTTGTTCCCGATTTCTCTATCTTTCCCCCAGCAGCACAGGGGACAGGGAATGGGTGTTCAGTCAGTTCACCGTTGCTGCTCTTCCTGGCATGAAAGTCCAGAAACAAAGTGTTCCAAGTGACACCTTTCCATGGAGTTACAGACTTCTTCGGGCAGAGCTCCCGGCTCAGGCATGGGGACATCCATGGGATGCAGATGGGCCTCCCTTCCAGCGCATCTCCTCACCCCCCAGCTCTGGGGGTCCATCCCTCTGCTCTGGCATTGAGTGACTCTGGAGTATCAAGTCAGTCACACTTGCCCTCAGGCTCAGCTTTTCTGATCCAGTGTGGAGTCCTCCACAGTCTACATGTGTATATCTCTCCCACCATTGAACTTCCAAGGGCTGCAGAGACCTCCTTTACCTTCTTCTACTCCATGCATGTTGAACTGGGCGTCTGAGGTTCTCTGTCCACCCCCTCCTCCTGGTAACTAAGATCTCTCTTTTGGTCAATGGCCTCTCCTCCAGGTTCTCTCCACCTTCTTCCTTTCAGGACAGTCCTTCCCCTCACAAATATGGATTCTCAGAGGCGTTTCTTTATTGCTGATTGGCTCAGCCTGGGCTGGGGGTGTATGCCCTGGAGCCAGGGGAGCTTCACAAAGCTTCTCACAGGGTAGCCCCTTCCCCCACTACCAAAAATGCCCCCCACACACACACACAAAAACCCAATGCACCATTGCAACACCGCAGCCCTCAGCCCTGTACCGAAATGGCAGCCACTGGCAAAATTGCAGAGGTGATGTGCCGTTGGGACCACCATCTGCCCAGCAACTGGGGTCTGCTGAAGGTCGTAGCCAAGCGGTGCTTTGTGCTTTGCACTGCTGGAACATGGTGGTCTCAGTCAAGTAATGGATGTGACAAAGCCAGATTTGCAATCTTGTGAAGCCACAGCCTTAATTTAAAACTGAAATAACATAAATAAATCCAAACTCAGTCCTGCTTTCCCTCATCCATAATAAGAAGATGAAAACACTTTTCATATTAAATTCATTACAATGGGAGGGTGCTCTGGTACTTGAGAGGAAGGTGGGGAAGGCATCTGAAGGAAAGCAGCCCTCCTTTTCCCCTGGAGTGAGGGAGAGGAGGGGAAGGTACTTGGTTACTCAGTCCTGCTTTTTACGGTCACTAACCGGAGCGAGGAGGGCGGGCAGAGCTCAGTCCCTCTCCGCTAACAAAGCTTTTTCGGTGTGAGGGGAGCAGATGAAGGAGAGGGCCTGGGATGTGGCACACAGGGAAGACAAACATCCCCCCAGGGAAAGCGTCCTGTCGGGGTGGGGTGTGTGTTTGTGTTAGAATCTGCTCTGCCGTTGCCCCCTCCGGCAGCGAGGTCCGTTGGCTGGGTGTCACCACTCGGGCCCCGCTTTCCCCTCTGCCGCCCAGGCCACATCTCCCAGCGAGGCCAGGGCACCGCAGCCCAGCCCCTGGGGAAGGGCCAGTGGGCAGCTGGTGGGCAGGAGCCCCGGAAAGTTGGGGTTTGTAACCCCTCTTCAACACTGGAACAGCCGCTGGTTTGGATTTGGACCAACATCCAAGGTGTTGGTACCAAGTTTGGTACCTCTGGCTTTCCCAAGGTGACCTCTCGGTGTGTGTTGAGGTGGGAGAGCAAGCCAAGGGAGGGGGCTCATCCAGCAGCCCTCTGTTTGGAGGTTTCTTTCAAAAATCTTTGTGTTTTTCTGATTTTAAAGTTCACCTCTAATGCTTTAAGTGCAGCGAGCGCCGTACACCAGGCTTTAATCAGCCTGTGCGTATTTTAAGAATCGTGCCAACTGCTGCTGCCTCAGAGATACCTGGAGATTTGGTTGAGAGAAGCCTGGCCTAGTTTTGTGGGGTAGCTAGCAATGCGTTTTCATTTCCCCATTTAACGTGAGCCTCCCCAGTCTTATTTTTCAAGGCATTTTCTTTGGAAGGTCGTAAAGCTGTGAGCAACCAGTTAATGCATGGGGGAGGAGAGAAGTCAGGGTATAATATCGCAATACTTTTTGCAATTAGAATTATATTAAGAGCTGCACTTCAGCTGTGGATGGAGTACAGTGTGGTGGGGTGCTGGAAAGAGGGTCAGCCTTGGGTGGGGGGTCCTCCAGCCCTGCCAGCTCACTGGTCTGCGGCTCTTTGGTTATATGTGTGCAACACTGGAGGCAGCATCCAGCAGCCTGGTACAGGACTGGTACAGTGTCCCTAAGCTTAATTGGGTAAAATCGTAGAGAGAAAATGTTAGGGTTTAATCATTTGCGTATCAGAAATCATTAAGCTGTTAGGCTGAGGGTTTTGTGTTACACAACTGGTGTGGTGTAAACTATTACTCATCTTTCCATCCCAGCTCTCCAGACTGGAATATGGAATATAAAAAGGCTGAGGGATCCATCCTGACAATCCTCTGGATCTTGATTCTGCCAGACGCGTGTCCCAGAGCCAGGAAAGAAATACTCGGCTTAGTCAAATCATAGAATCACAGAATGGTTTAGGTTGGAAAGGACCTTAAAGATCATCCAGTTCCAACCCCCCTGCCATCAGCAGGGACACCTTCCACTAGACCAGGTTGCTCAAAGCCTCATCCAACCTGGCCTTGAACACTTCCAGGGAGGGGGCATCTACAACTTCTCTGGGCAACCAGTTCCAGTGTCTCACCCCTCTCACAGGAAAGAATTTCTTCCTAATACCCAATCTAAACCTACCCTCTTCCAGGGGAAGGACAACCTACCCCTTGTCCTATCACCCCCTGCCCTTGTAAAAAGTCCCTCCCCGGCTTTCTTGTAGCCCCTTCAAGTACTGGAAGGCTGCTATAAGATCTCCTCAGAGCCTTCTCTTCTCCAGGCTGATCACCCCCAACTCTCTCAGCCTGTCCTCAAAGG